CAGGAATTACTGAAACTAAACAGTGTATATTTCCTAGTAGGTTGCTTTAGAATGTCAAGTCAAACAGGACACTAGGAGACTAGACATAGCTCATGAAAAATAATCATAAGCAATGTAGCATTTCCCCAGAAACTGTTCTGGACAGCACCTGTTCTCTAAACAGTTTTCAGTGCAAATGAACCTGGCTCATTTGACAAAACTTGCCAAATTTAGAAGACAATCAGTTCTAAAGATAATTTTTTTAGAGAGAGAGATTTTTGCTATATGGCATGTGTGCTCACCAGAGAGACAGAGACAGAGAGACAGAAAGAGAAAAATGACCCCTCAGGGGGGTTGGCCATACCACAGTCCCTTCTCCACTCTCCTCTCTAGATCTTGAGCATGTACACATGCCGGGTCTGGGACTTGAACGATTGTTGACTATGTGGGAGTCCATGGATGCAACCATTAATGTCATCTGCTGGTCCTTGAGATCATGTGCTCACATATGTGTGGTAGGATTTTTTTATTTTGGTTTGTATTTCCTTAATTTTCTGGCAAGTGTATTTTTTTTACACAGATTTTTTTTTTTTAAATTGACAAAGGGCTTGTGCATTTGCAGGGGTGAGGGGGAAGAGAGAGTGAGCGAGCGAGCACCCCCTAATGGGGCATGGCCATGCTGAAATCATTTCCCCTTCATTTCTCCATCCCATCATGATTTGGGGCACACATACACTCAGGATGTTTTTCAAGCTACTGGGCCAGGATTGGAACTGTGCTCCACTTGGAATCCAGTTTCCTATATGCAGGGCCTTACCACTGTACTACAGGGTGGCCCCCAAACATGTGTGTGTGTGTGTGTGTGTGTGTGTGTGTGTGTGTTTCCTTTTAAGTGGAAAATCACCCACTAGGTGGGATGGCCATAATACAATCCTTCTTCTTCCATTCTCCTCTCAGGATTCTGGGCCTGCACTCACACACATCCAGCTGCTGAGTCTGAAATTCAAACCATGAAGTTGGCCATGTGGGATCCAGTCACTTTAACCTCCACATCACCTGCTGCCCGTCCAGACAAGTATTTAATTTTTTTTTTTTTTAATTTCAAGGGACCAGCAGATGGCAACGCTGACATCGCTGGACTTCCATATGGCTGATAGTGGTTTGTCTAGTGGACCTGGAGGCTTGAAACTCACACTGAGCGAATGCGTGCCCAAAATCCAGAGAGGAGAATGGAGAAGGGCTTGAGGTGTGACTATACCCTCTGGGGGAGGGGGTGATTTCCTGCTTTCTGTCTCTCTGTCTCTCCAGGGAGCACAGACACCCTATAGCAAAAATGTCTCTTAAATCCCTCCCCCTGCCCTTGCTGTCTCCTAAATGCTAGTTTGAAGTAGTCAGCATATTAAAGCAGCATATATGCCATTGGGATGGCATTTCCCTTACTCCTTCAATCTCTTGATATTTTACATTTGCTAAATCATCCGATTTTTTTCTGAAACATTTGAGAAAGTTGCAAAAATAATAATCTCTAAACATTTCAGTGGGTGTTTTGTTAAAACAAGGACTCTCTTACATAATCACAGTAGAAATATTAAAATTAAGAAAATAACACTGAAACAATATTACTTATCCTGCCAATATTTAATTTTGTTAATTTCTGCAATAATGCCATGTTTTAGCAAAAGAAAAAAAAATCAATGGGTGGGGATCAGTTATCATGACTCTAGGCTTCATTGATTTGGAAGAATTCTTCTGGGCCAGCTCCCTTGCATGGTAGTTAAGGAAGCCACATCTTACCCGCCGACTGCAGGTTCGAACCTCGCCCTGGTGGCATGGAAAACACAGGTGCGGGTGCCTGTAAACCTCCAAACCATGACAGGTTGGAGTAATGGAGAAGGGGTTCCAGTGTGACCATACCCTATGCGGGCATTTTCTCTCGCTCTCTGTCTCTGCAAACACACATGTCCTCTGATGAGAAAAAAGGGAAAAGATTCCACTATCTTCCTTGGCCCTGACAGTTTTGAAGACCGCAAGTCAGTATGGACTTGCCTGATGTTTTTTTCATCATCCAATTCAGCCTATGCAAAATTCTGGCATGATTAATACTAGAAAACCGATTAGTATTTTTCTCAGCGCCTCATTAGGAGTCACGTGTTGCCCATTTGTTCCATTTCTGGGATATTTTCATCACCTAGTTCAGATGGTGTCCGCAGTCTCTCTCATCGTAAAGCTTCTACTTTGCCCTTTGAAACAGTACCTTGGGGAGATACTGGGAGATTACGTAATGTAAACATTTTGTTTCTCATCTTACTGGCGCCCCCTAGTTTACTCTAAGGCAACAATAGCAGCCTGCAGGCGCAGCAGGCTGTCGGAATTCAAGGATACTTGCTTCCCAGGGCCGGATTGCCTGACTTGTATTAGCATAACGCTTGACCTATTGCAAATGGTTGGCTCCTCCCTGCTGAATTTCTTTTCTCTCAGCATAGCAGGGAGTATTGCAATCTATCTGCTGCTGTTTCTCTTTCCCACAGACTGTGAGCTCCTTGAGGGTAGGCATCATGGCTTCTGGTTTCTCTCTGCAGTGTCTAGCCCAGATGCGTCGCAACTAGTGGGCTGGGGTAGATATTATGGAAGAAGAGCTACGAGTCGGCCCGGGGTTGGCGTTTTTCCTGTTCAAAAGGGAAGCAAGGGCGTGGATGGCGAAGGGCGTGGCCAGCCTAGTCGCTTTACCAAGGGTCCCACGGGTACTCGGCCACCCATTGGCGGGCGGGCATCTGGCGTCCCCGGGGGTGGGGGGGGAGTGGTGGAGGGTGGGG